GACATTTGTCGAAATTAAAATTTAGTACATTTATAAAATTTTACTAAAATAATATTTTTATTGAATTATCTCCTAAACTCAACTTATTTCATTAATATTTTTGTTTTATGTTTGTTAAGCTTAATTACAAGTATTTGTTTATTATTAATACTAAGAGCTTTTAAATTTTTTGCATCTATAATAAAAAATGTTAACTAAATTAATTAAATTTATGAAAATATTAATTAAAAATATTTGTTAAAAATTAAATATTTTTTTATATAAATATACTAAATTTTACACATATAATAATCTTCTATGAAATTCTCTCCTAAACCTAATTTTATTTTATCAAATTTTTATTTAAATTTCACACAATATTTATAAGTATTTATTATTATTATTTACCATTCAGATCTATCAATAAGAACAAAAAATCAAAGAAGTGGTGGCCTAGTGGTAACACAAGGGGTTGGTTCTCTTGTGCCACAGATTCAAGGGGCAATTACAAAAATGCCATTTTTTGTGTGCACATTTGCAAGAATGCCACTTAGGGGTGTTCATTTACAAAAATGCCACTAATTATAGATTTATAAAGCCTATATCTTAAAATTTTAAACCCTAAAAAATGTTTTGACACCTAAAACCCCCTAAACACTCAAAACTAAATCCTAATAGAACATAATTAACCCAAACATAAATAATATAAAGAAAAAATAATTTTGAAAAAGTGGCATTTTTGTAAAGATTTCAAAAGTGTGGCATTTTTGTAAAGTGGCACTTGAAAAGTGGCATTTTTTGAAATTTCTCCAGATTCAAACCCCTTTTGGGACGGAGAGTTATTTTTTCAATCGGAATTTCCAAAGACTATCTTTGGTCATGAGGAGATTATGAGCCAAACATTTGGAATTCTCATGGTTTGTTAAAAAAAAACAAAAACAATAAAATGTTTAATTTTTATTTATTTATAATATTAAAAATTTATTAAACAGAACAAAAAAATTATAAATTATTATTTTATATCTATATTTATAATTTTTGTTTCATATATAATTTATAAAGAAAAACAAAAATTGCATATAGACGTATGTTCACAAACAAAACAACTCAATTAAAAAAGAAAATTCCTTACTTTCTCCCATTTCTTCGATTCCTCCAATTCCTCTATAGTTATATATACAAGAGAAAATTTTAAAAATGTCACTTTTCAAGTGCCATTTTACAAAGCTTTACAAAATGCCACTTTTCAAAATTATTATTTTCTTTATATTATTTATATTTGAATTAATTATGTTCTATTAGGGTTTAGTTTTGAGTGTTTAGGGGGTTTTAGGTGTCAAAACAGTT